AATTACTTGTGTAGCGATTGGTCCAAGTTTTCTCGTGATGAGAGAACCCAAATGAAGTTTCTTTTAGATAAAACTAGTGAAGCCAAGAAAAGTCTTCAGCAAAGGTTACAAACAGACTCAGAATATTATGAAAGGAATAGATACTGGATTGAACAAGAAATCTCTCATTTCCAATCAAAACACTGTTCTCATATGGCCTCAATAATAACCAAAATTGATGACTTGACATCAAAACTTACACATACTGAAAGGAACTTTCACAACTTAAAGCAAGATGCTGTAAAGAAAGAAAAACAAAGAAGCTTACTTGAAGAAAAATACAGAATAAATTTCTTTAAAGATTGTGAAAAAAGACTTAAAGACTTGGAGTCCAAAGTAACATACATTGAAACATGTTTAAGTAATGGATGTTACTGTAATACTACTACTAATAATAATAATGTACTAAAAGACTCTTACACAGATCTAGAGAATCATACTAATCACTCACAAGATGTGCTTGTGAGACTAAGTAATTTGGATTCTAGGGTTAAGATAACCTCTGACATACTTGGTATTGAAACAGAAGCAACGAAAGAGGTCATGGAAAAATCAGAGATCAACCTACTTAGAAAGTCTGTGACACCTAGTCAGGAAAATTATCTGTATGATTTAAATAATGAAAATAAGACAAATAACATCATGTCCCTTTCTACCTTCACTAAAATGCTTTTTCAGAAAGTTGGAATGATAACAGCCTGGACAAAGAAGACTCTTATGCTTCTATACAAGCAAAGCTTATCAACAGAAATAGAGCCAGAAGACCCCAAAGGTTGCTTTCTTGATGAGTTGGGACATTTGGTAAAAATCTGTCAGTGCCTCCTTCCTGAAGATAAGTTAGAAACAGATCTAGTGTACCTTCTCCTTATCCTTCAGGAAATAGCCACAGCAGCCATAAAATTAAATGAATTTGGATCAATACATATGAATTTTGTAATCAAGGAAGTGTACAAGATAAACAAACTTATGACATCAATTGAACTCAAGTTAAGTAAGATTTCAACTGACAAAGACATCAGCTACAATGATGTCTTGCTTCCATCTTCTACTTCATTGTTATCGACTTTAATCATGTCTACCTGGGATACTTTGAGTACATCAGATAATAATATTTTTCAAACTATGTATTGTAAAGATGAATTTTTTAGAAATGAACTTCTGGGTCTACAAGAAAATTGGAAAAAAATAAGGAAGTTTTTGGATAATGAACGAGATAGTAGAATTAAAACTCTAGTCGGATTTCTTCAAAATGATCAGCTTGAAAGATCAAATCAGAGAAACCACGAGTTAAAGGATAAAGATTTTTGTGTTGAAAATATTGTGTTGGAGGAATTACTTCTTGGTGAAATCCATCAAGTTATTCTTTGTCACAGTGGAATAACTAAAACTCAAGTTCTCTCGAAGCTTGAAGAGTATTGTATTACAGCTTTGTACACTGAATCAAAAGCCTTTGAAATTTGGACTACTGTTACTCAAAGCCAGTTTGCATTAGAGGTAGAGAATATCTTTGCTTTGATAAAAAACAGTTGTGTCAAAAATATATCATTTCTTGGTTATCAGCTGAACATTGGAGATAAGCTACTAAGTGATCAGTCTATTCACTGCCTCATGGAATTAACGGAATTGTGTGTATTTACTGGAATGCTTCAAGCCGCTACTATCTACTGTGCAGAAAGATTGAAAACCTTAAAAGTTACACATAGTGCTGTACCAAAAACAGACTTTCAAAAATGTAATCAACTACGGGAAGATAGCTGGCTAGAGAATTTTCACAGCCATTTTCAGCAGAAAGCAAGTGAGATGGTCACATTTTATTGTCCATTTTCACTTCCAAAGAGGAAACCAACATATATTTCTGACCATTCAAATGATTCTTTTTATATTGTTGAGAAGTTAACCAAATTTAATGCATTAAACATTGGCAAAATGAAGGAAAGGTATAGTGAAAAACTACTTGCATTGAAACTGGGCTACCAGGAAGAACTTCTGAAGATGTATTCAGAACTAGAAGCCTTGAAACAACAACAAGAAGGCCGTTCAACATGTAAAACCAAAGTAGGGAATAGTTTGTGTTCTGATGTAATACATTGTCAAGAGACACCACAACCAAGCACAATATGTCAAACCTGCAAGACACTACAACCAAGCACAGTATGTCAAACCTGCGAGACACCACAACTAAGTACAGTATGCCAAACCTGCGAGACACCACAACCAAGTACAGTATGCCAAACCTGCGAGACACCACAACCAAGTACAGTATACCAAACCTGCGAGACACCACAACCAAGTACAGTATGCCATACCTGCGAGACACCACAACCAAGTACAGTATGTCAAACCTGCGAGACACCACAACCAAGCACGGTATGTCAAACCTGCGAGACACCACAACCAAGTACGGTATGCCAAACCTGTAAGAAACTTGAACAAGCTAGAAAAGCTCATGGAGAGGAGTTGGAACACCTACAAAATCAACTTTTCAGTGAGAAAGAGAGCATGAAGAAACAACTGGAAATCAGTTTTGAAGAGCAGGTAATTCAGTCATTTTGTAATAGTACTCTTGTCATGTAATTACCAGGTTTTGTATACATTTAAACTAATTTTATTCATTGTAAATGTAATATTTTATGATTAGCAACGCGATGCTTTTCATTTTATAACATTCATTACCTAATTACACATATTTGTTAGATGTCAGTCTCTTCTGGAAATAATATTTTACAGATAGACTGATGTAAAAGCCTGTCAAAAATGAAGGGAAACCAAAACTATTTCATATAAAACTGGCAATACACAAAAGAAATATAAAATTTTCTTTCCTAGGAACATGCCACAGATTGCTCCTGAATCCACTACATATAACTGAGCAAACATGCTACATATTGGTGCTTTTGGATAAAAGATTAAAATGTATGATGACCATTTAATTACATACTTATCTGTTTTTTGTCCTCCTCCTCTTCCTCCCTACAGATAATAGGAATATTCAGTCTATTTTAACAAATAATAATAATAACATAATAATTCCCAAGCATTGATTGGCACTAATTTGTGACTTATTCTTTCATGGTAGGCTTCCAGGCTTTTCTATTCTGATCCTACCTAGCTTGACATCATAATGATGTGGTGTGATGCACACAACGCTATCCCTGATTTGGTCCTGGGAACTCCTTCCTTGACAGGCATTTATATAGAAGGAAAAGTGTTGAAATTTAGGAGATATTTATGCCTCTGTTAGAGATTAAATTCGACTAAAATGGGTACAGGCAATCAAAATAGTATTTTTTTTTTCTTACTTCATATTAATGAACTTAAATCTATGGACTGAAAGAAGATATTAAGCTTAGTTTCATAGACTGAAAGGAGGTAGTAAACTCAGTTTCATAGACTGACAGCAGGTAGCAAACTCTCAGTTTCGTAGACTGACAGCAGGTAGCGAACTCTCAGTTTCGTAGACTGACAGCAGGTAGCAAACTCTCTGTTTCGTAGACTGACAGCAGGTAGCAAACTCTCTGTTTCGTAGACTGACAGCAGGTAGCAAACTCTCTGTTTCGTAGACTGACAGCAGGTAGCGAACTCTCTGTTTCGTAGACTGACAGCAGGTAGCGAACTCAGGTTTTTAGATTATAAATGTAGAATATAACAGTCAACATGTACTGGATCTTCAGGTCATCTATAATGTTTACAGATCTGATCCTTAGTGTTTTTATCAGTATTATGAAGTTTTCAAATGTTCATTTTATTTTAGGTTAGATCTTGTAATGAAGAAAAAGTTAAGTTAGAAACAGAACTACAACTTGCCCAGAAACACCTCATGAATGTAAAGGTAAAGCTGAGAATTAGTTAGGTGTATCTGTTATGTGTAAAATTAAGTCGTTAAAAGCTTACAGGATATCTTAAAACTAATAAATAGTTGATAAATGTATCACTTTTGTAAAAACTTTTATAGGTTTTATATCGAGTTTTTACAATATTTTTTTCACCTATTATTTTTTTTTCTGTAGTTGAATTGTTTCAGAAAATCCTGTTTATTTAGATAACATAAATCATTTTGTAGTATGCCATGCTTTTATTCAGTTTCAAGTGTAGTTAACCCTTAAATTAAACAGATTTGTCTACATATAATACTTTCAGTGTCAATTTCAATCTGTAATAGTAAAATTATATAAGGATGGTTTGTTTACTTTCTAACATACTGTTTATCTGTTATCTATTTAAAAAGAAAAAAAAATCCATGTACACACAACTTTCAAAATTGATCAGGGTATTTTAGATAACTGAAGCATAATAGGTTGAAAATGAGGTTAAATTAGCAGTGTTTATTTCATAATTTCAGCATTAAAACTATAATTTTGGTCATTTATGTAGAAGTATATCAAGACAACAGTTTTATCTGGGTGAATGTGATGCTTAAAATTCATATTTGTGTACAAAAAAATGGTAATTGTTTCACTTGTTTCCTGAGATAATGTTTTTTTTTTTATATTAAATTTTGTGGAATCCTTTTCTCTGTCATAACTCTTACAAAATTCTCTACTTTCATAATTTTCAGGTTGAGAATGAGGAACAGATGAGAAGTTTGATGAAATTCCATCAACAGAAAGATGAGATTTTCAGTGAAGAGACTGTATTGCAACATTATCGACAAGAGATCATCGAGTGTAAGGTGTGTTTTTGTTGTTTTTAAGAAACTACATAAACTAACACAAAGTTTCGAAAAATTAAAATAAATTTTGTTATATAATTAAAACATACTAGAAGACTTGAGGTAAAACTAAGCACATGTATGAAGAAGTAATTTCTTGACAGTGTAATAGGTTCTCTTTTTCAACAGCCAAAGTATTCTGTAATTGTTTTTCTCATTTCTGTAGTTTTGTATTGTATTCGAAAACTATATACATATTACAGACGCATTTTAGATATATATACAGGGGATGGCAAAAATGACTTCACATTTGTTTTTC